CCAAATTATGCATAGGTATGTCTCTAACGCACGTTTTTTTTGTGGTTCACTTAGTGTACTTTTTTTGGATTCAGCATCCCTCAAAACCTAATATTACATGTAATAACGTAAATAATCCATCGAGTTTTTAACGTTTTCCACGTAAAGGCGTGTTGGCTGTTCCCTCTCTGGACATCAACAGAATACTAGTATGTGCCGTTATACTTAACAATGGAGGTGCCTAGTAGAAACTCTGGGATGATGGCAGAATAAAAAAAAATAATCATGGAAAAAAAAACTTGCTGGGATCAATAAATTATCCACGCCTATTTCTTAGAGTAAATTATAACATAAATTACAGCGAATTCATCATTAAAAAAACACAAAGTGAAGGAAACAATATTTTGCATAGTTTTGCTACCCCCCCCCCAAGAGTTTCAAATGATCCACCCTAGCCGCATTTGGGGTATACTATTGTAAAAAATGACTGTTAAGCCACATAAGTTTCAAGAAATACCAGGATGTGCGACCTGTGGATGTATGCAAAGTGCCAGGATGTGTGACCTTTGTCAATTATGCATAAAGTCTATTGATATTCAAAATGGATTCCACATCTAAAACCCGCACGACTTACGTAGCGTCTTTCTTCTCTATACAGAAATCGAAGAGTACGTCACAGGCCGACCAGGTATCACAGTCATCTCCATTGTGAAGTTCATCGTCATTGTTATTAAACTGCAGTAATTGAATTTGCAACGTTGCCCCTGCCGTCACTCTGTGTATAATCTAATAAAGGCATTTTAGTTTAGGTTAGTACATCGCCACATCTTAGCAATACATATAGCACACACCACATGGATATTAAACAAAGCCATTTACAATATTAAAATAATACTGTAAATGACTAATTCTCACTTGGCTTAAATTTCACTGATTTACCATTTCAGGCATATTCAGTGGGTTTTAAATTCACGGTTTTATCATTTAGATAATGTGTTCTATGCTCAATTTTACATATTCACTGGGTTTTAATTTAGCGTATTTTCCAGTCAGTGAAATGAGCAAAATTAAAACCCAGTGAATAACTAATCTTTTTACAGTATTGGGACATTCGGTGTCACGTGATACCTATGTCTGAGTACGTCGTTACATCAGCCATTTTTTCAGTATAGTTTACAGTTAGTCGTGTTATGATCACTAACACGGTCCTACAAATATCACACCGCAAAGTAAACATTTTGATTAGACTATATACCGTCTATGTCGAAAGATTTTGAAAAAATTAAGAATAATGGACAAGTGATTTGGTCTGGAGTGTTGTGGGCGTGCCTTACGGGTCAGTCAGGCAGTCGGTCAATCTGCGCATGCGAGTTCCCATGGTAATGTACTGAAGGCAGCCAATCAGTGATTTGATGTTTGATTTGATGCAGTGTAAAATCGTGAAAATAAATCCTTTATTGCGTTTTATTTGCACCAGCCAGTGACTGAAATTAGGGCGACTCCACAAGTTGTACGTGTTAAAAGAGAGTATCTCACGCGTCTAGAAAATGTCTGAATCGTCATTTGTCGTTTTTACACAGCTTTGTTATAAGCTAGAAGTCCACGTCAATATCAATTCTTATTCGGTTATTTTTCCATCAGGATGTTTTATTGTCAGAGGGGTTATCCTATGTTGTTGTTTCCACAAACACACGTTGTCCAATATACTAGTACACTGTAACCTCGTTATAACGAACTCTTTAGGAGACTTGCAATTATTTATACAATGTAGTAAAGTGTTCACTATAATGAAGCACATAATACCTTGGGTTTGCTATACGCAGGAGTCGTGCAATGTGTTCATTATATCAGAAAATTAATTATACAGGTGTTCGTTATAACGAACTCTTTGGGAGACTTGCAATTATTTATACAATGTAGTAAAGTGTTCACTATAATGAAGCACATAATACCTTGGGTTTGCTATACTTATGAGTCGTGCAATGTGTTCATTATAACAGAAAATTAATTTTACAGGTGTTCGTTATAACGAACTCTTTGGGAGACTTGTAATTATTTATACAATGTAGTAAAATGTTCACTATAATGAAGCACATAATACCTTGGGTTTGCTATACGCAGGAGTCGTGCATTGTGTTCATTATATCAGAAAATTAATTATACAGGTGTTCGTTATAACGAGGCTACGGTGTAACAATTGTTCAAAAGTTTTAACTTTAGAAATTTATGCAAACATCAAACCATAGTCTAGATATCGATGCTGTGTGGATAATTTATTGTCAATCTCCAAAACTGCTAATTCATATTCGATATTTACTAGTTCTTCGGTGTTTTAGCGTGGACCTAATTACTTGATTAGTCGTTTCACAGTTACCGAAACTGTCCTATTCAATGACATTCAACGAACACCAAACGACATTCTAAGTGCTGTATGGCCAAGTTTCTGTAAATTTTCAAAACCGCTAGTTCATATCCAACATTTGCCGGTTCATCTGTGTGTGGTCTTCAGGTTCCTTTGGCGTGGATATTATTTTAAAGAGACCTAACTACTTCATCGGTCGTTCCAAAGTTGCCGAAACTGCCTCATTCAAACTGTTTCCCTTTCCCCCGTCTTCTCTGTACGATTCCTCCCCCACATTTGTGTTGCTACTATTGCTCTTGCTTATATTGTATACACAAGTCAATGCATTCTTTATTTTAATCGACCGTTCAACAATTTCTTTTCCTTCACCCCATTCTCTTTCACTATCTCGTTATATGCATTTCATTGATCGCGTGTTTTCTCTCACGTTTTTATTGTTGTCCCGATTGTCTGTGAACCATAATATTTGTGTCGAGATCCCAATCAGCACCATCACACTGAACGTAAACAAAATTATTCTAGAAAACAGTCCACGTAAAATCCAGCGAATATACCGTTTTTTTTCCTCTACTTTACATTCAACTGGTCATAAATCAGTGAAAATAAATTCCATCCAAAACACCAAAAAGGTCTTTTCAGCGAAAATTAATTCCAGCTAAAATAAAGTATTTTACAGTACTCTGTTGTACTGTGTGTTTAATACATAAACCATACCTGTGATAGAAGAATCGCTAACACAAGTAGTAATCGCATCTTTGTCGTCAATCTGTATCCGCGTGGAGGAAACAACAACTTTCAGGTGACATTGGAGGAATCCACGACGCGAGTCTGTAGCCCTACAACGCTACGCACGCTATGTGTACCTGTGTGTGACGTAGCCGAGCCTAATGTCCTATGTGTTTTGTCCCCCGTTGTTCCCGCCAAGTAATCGGTAAATATTTGTCTATTATTCCTCAATGTTTCTGCCAAGCAATCGGTAAATATTTGTCGGAATATCCACCGGGTGTATTAATGGAAATACTTTGTGTTGCATTGTTGGTTCTAGATGGTGGCTTCTAGCGTGGATTCATGTGTTCGGCTCTGTTACATGTGTTGTCCCCGGGGTGCGTAATGACCTACTGACACCCTGAAGTCAGTTGTTTTCAAAAGTATGCATTAAAACTCTGCGTTTTATTTAGGGATTTGACGATACTGAAATACCGCCTCGTGAAGTTAAATTTGATTGTCGATTTCAGTTTGTCACGCGCCCAGGCTAAAATAGTCCATAATTAACTCTAATTGTTTTATGAAACATTTGTCCTATTTGTGAGTATTTTTTGATAATTATTTTTATAATTTTGGACTAGGTAGTCACAATTTCCTATGGACTACATACCTAGATGAAAATGTGGAGAATAATGAAATAAAATTGATAGATTTTATTTTGTGACGAGTTTACTTTGGCTCACAGAAGACATTTTCACCACCAGACTTCCTCCTCGCCCAATTTTTTCTAAACTTTTGTCTTATATTTATCAATATTTCTAGAATTCAATTCTGATTTTGGAGCCAATAGACAAAATTCGAGTCAATATTCAGTTTTTAGGCAACAAATTAGCTATTTTTGGTTCAATCTACTGAAAGAAAGAGCAGAATTTAAACGGGACTATTTTGTGAATTTGTGGTGAAAAGAGGGAATTGGTGGTGAAAAGTTTAAAGTGGGAAAAAACGTAAAACTATTCCCAATGCCGTGTTGTTGTTGGTGGGTTTGTGTTCGATGTTGTCGTCTGAGCCAGTATAGGCCAGTTTAGTTATATTATGATTACACGCAACTCGCGAGATTTGATCTCACGAGCTCAAGGATTCGCCATCGCCATTCGCACATCACATCTGCAGGAAATAACGTTTCAGAGGGTCTAGATTTCTGATCTCGCCGGTCATGCAAAATTTCGTGCCGCCGCCCCCGCAAAAGATCGGCATTTCGACATAGAGCTATAAAAAAGGATTTCAAGTTCAAAATCAAATCGATTAGTGCGGTATACGTTCGGTCCGCCACTTTCACGCAATACGCGAGATCTCGCAGTGAACTGAAAATCGTCTAAGCGATTATTCAAAGGCATAAACATCGACTAATTACGGAGACCATGAAGGATGTAACCTAACTATGAATATGAATTGAAGTACCGTGACGTTTTCGGGGTAGTAAGTGTTTAAAGCAATCACCCGCGCATGCGTCAGTGTTAATAGCGAGTCATTGTTTACAAACTCAGACTGCTATATCTATAGGAGTCTAAGTTACAAGCAAGCATCTACCCATGAGCCTTTGCGTTTTAGCGTGTGTTGTTATAGTCGCTTGGGACTCAATTTCCGCGCGTGCGCAGGTGAAGACCCCTCCGCTTTAACACCGCACTTCGACCATGTCAACTTAAAACAATCACAAAATAGTCCTGTTTATAGTCTGCCCTTTCCTTCTGAGAAGATTAGCACAATGATAGCCATTTTTTTAGTCAAAACTGAAAATGTATTCAAATTTTGCCTGTTAGTTCCAAAATTAGGACTCAGTTCAAGAAAATACGGAAAAGTAGAAGAAAAAAGTGCAGTGGTGTTGCGATAGCCGAATAGCATACAAGTTTTGTTTTCAGTGAGGAAATGTCTGAGTGTCCGAAACTCCACTCCACATATTTATTTTGCGATGGAATTAAGGTGTTGTTTTCGCCTCGTAGCTACACTTGCTTTCACCACCGTCCCTCAAAGGGACGGTGCTTTCACCCCCCGTACAATTGAGCCGTTCATTGTGTACTTGTCCGGGAGTCACTTGCAATACCGTATCGCGTGAACAATGGTCTATTGTACTGTTCCTTCCAGCCTAATCTGTTTAGTTCGTCGAACATCTACAAAATACCTATTAACTTCAGGGTGACGATTGTCCTACTTTTCCGACGCGGGTCGAAGTGGCATGACAATGGGGTGACGGCGCTTGCATTTATTTTCACTTTTTGGATATCTTGTGCAACTTGAATTTAAAGCGGGTGAGTCGTCACCTGCGCATGCGTCAGATGGTCATAGGGTGTTATTGTTTACTAACAAGCGTCTACCCATGAGCCCTTGCGTTTTTAGCGTGTGTTGTTATCGTCGCTTGGGACTCAATTCCCACGCGTGCGCAGGTGACGACCCCCGACTTTGACTGGGTTTTAAGTTCACGAACTTTGCACAAAATGTCCTATTGTTATTTTACATGTTCAGATGGATTTAATTAAATTTAGCTGATTTTACTTATCTGCGAAAATAGCGAAATTAAGAAGTGTTAACAGTAGTGTTCCGTAAGAACTGAAATATATATATATAGCATATAAAAAGCTGTGATGAACAGAGGTATTTCACCCAATCATGTCTTAGCGATGAATTCTCGCAAAAACAACGTGCTTCTCGCGGGAAAAGTACATTAGCTCTTATTCACGTGTATTATAGCGAAAATACGTGTTTTTTTTCTCGAAGGTGAGTGCATTAGCATGAGTCGTGTGAATTATCGTGTGAGAATGTGTATTTTTCCGGGGTGCATTAACTCGACTAAATTGTTACCTCCATTGTTCGACAAGACAAGGAACATTGAACGCCTCGCCGGCAGACCTACATTGTGATGGATTGCACCTGGTAGCACTCAGGCAGTGTGGTCTCCATAGACACGATATCCTCGGGGGCGGAGCTACATCACCGGAGAACGTTCTATGTCGCTAAGATGCGCACCTCTGTACCATGTTTTTCCATGGGCTCTCCGCAGCTGCTGTGGAACGCCGGTCGAAAAGCTGGTGAATATAGCTAAAGTCGAGGAAGCAAAACAAACTCAACTTTGAAGTAATCCTGAACAACCGAATATATTTATATATATATATTGCATATATAGGAGTAATCTTGTTACACTGTTCAGAGGAGTCTCAACAACCATACCAAAATACAGCAGTTTTCTGAAAGTTTTCGGCCTTTGTTTTACAAATTAACCGAACTTCGAGTTACCGGCAACATAGATTTTTTTATTTTGCTTAACGTTTTATGTTTCCCGTAACGGGAAGTTCGGTTAACTTTCAATTAAAGTTTGAGTTACTAAATGCGGACGTTCAACAAAAACAAAAATGTATAATGCCCGTAATTTGAAGTTCTGTTAACTGTTAATTGAAAATTGAGTTACAATTCCGGCATGGCTTCTCAAAAGTGAGCGTACACGTGGTTACTCGGATATAGGAGTGGTCATTTTTAACTCAATGTTTTTGTAAATTAATGTCCGATTAGGCATCTTCATTAAACAATTAAGCATCTCCATGAATAGACTACTGTAAAATACTTTATTTTAGCTGGAATTAATTTTTGCTCAAAAGGCATGTTTTGTATGGAATTTATTTTCACTGATTGTTGACGAGTTGAATGTAAAATATAAGAAAAAGGTATATTCGCTGGATTTTATTTTCACGCAATCATCCCTTCAGCGAAAATAAATTCCAAGCGAACATAAAGTATTCTACAGTATTTGCGAAATCCAATGCACGCGAATACTCGCACGAACAACATTTTCAGAAATTTTGTTTTTGTCGTTGAGGCGACGTTTTCTATTTAAAGCGGGAGGGTCGTCATCTGCGCACGCGCGGGAATTGAGTCCCAAGCGACGATGAAAACACGCGCTAAAAACGCAAAGGCTCATGGGTAAACGCTTGTTTGTAAACAATGACACGCTATGGCCATCTGACGCATGCGCATGTGACGACTCTCCCGCTTCAAGACCTTTGTCATATTGAAGTCGTACAAACAGCAACATATATATCATTAGTAACATTTTATTCCAAACATATTTTAATATTTTACAACACATTTTGTTCCTATATTTAATTTTTTGGCGGGAAAATATTGAACAGTCGTACAACTGTATTGTGAACGATATGTGTGTCATGACGTCAAGAATGCATAATATTCTGAACGATGAGACATTAGCGATTTGTCCCAAGAATGTTTTGTTGCCATGACAATTACAATTGTTATCATCTTGTTAATAATCCCAGAAAGCCCCCCCCCCCATAGTACCTACATACCAAGTATGAAAGCAATTGAGCTGTTAGAAGTCGAAAATAGCATTTTTTCATCAAAAATTACAAAAATATTTGCTAAAAATAAAGAATTGAAGACATCATCATGAAATTAACAAATGTCCATCCATTGTTCCTACTTACCAAATAATAAAGTTATTAACCTAATAATTTTCAAGAAAAAGTCGAAAAATTAATTGTTGACGGACGACAGACGGCGGGAAATCACCTACACGAACAGCTCCGCCCCGTGTCTAAATTTCGCTACTCAACCGAAACAAACATTTGCTTTCAAAGCAAACCAGAGTACATGTTTGTACTGCGGTCTTAGTCATACTTCTAGTTTTGTTTTCTTTCAATGAGATTAGATTCACCCAGAAACGCCGAATTAAACCGAGGCATGCCGAGGAACACCGTCGAACGTTGAATAACGAAAAAGATATAAACGCAATGACCAAAAGCAGTAATACCGTCTCACCCCCACAGATATAGCTAGAGTCATGCAGCTTGTTGCCGTGTTTTATACAAGTACATGCAAATTTATGCAAACCGGAAGAAGGTACCGGAAATGACGTTTGTTTTGGCTGCGTCCAGTTTACACACACTTCAAACACGACGTTTCAGGTAACCTCACAGTACTAGAGCGCTATAATTTTTGTACAATATTCCCATTGGCATGACGACAACGTTAGATCAACATAATAGTGCGCGATAGCACCAAACAAAAACGGTAAGTATAGCGCCCTCTACGCCAGCCATATCACAAGTTCCATCTTGTGTTCATTGCTAAAGGCTTTTATTAAATAAAGCCGAGTGAATATGCAATTTCAACCATCGAATGTGAATTTAAAACCTGGTGAATATCTTTGCAAAAAATTAAAATTCAGTGAATATCTCTCTCTCTCTCTAACGTTACATGTTGCCCGTAACTCGAGTTACTAAATTTGAACGTTAAACAAAACAAAAAATCTATGTTGCCCGTAAGTTTGGATTAAAGTTCGAGTTAATAAATGTGGACGTTCACCAACAACAAAAATGAATGTTGCCCGTAAACTCGAAGTTTTGTTAATTGAACAACAAATTACAATTTTGTGTGGTTTCGCAAAAGTGGACGTGGTTTCTAAAATATGGGGGCTGTAACTCAATGTTTTCTGTACTCTGTTTCAGTAACTTGAACTACACGTTAACCAATGTGAAGTCCAGAGAGAATAAACGAAATTATTATGCATTTCTGTATAATTTGACAAAAGATTGGCACTTAACACTTCTTGCTCTGTCCCATGGTTTGATCCATTATGTTGCAAGCCTACAAATTTTATGTTTTAATCCAACATTATTTTCATTATAAAATGCACAACTACAGCTCTTTGGATATCAGTATCATCCACACCTCTTTTGTTGTAGACGTAATCTACATAATTAGATACAATGTATCAACATAAAAGTGTGAACTGTCTTGGTTGCAATACGGATCCTGTTGTTGAAAGAGCTGTAGATGTTCGTTCTTCTTTTTCTGCACACTTTTTTTCTGCAAAATTTGTGGATCTTTGAATCAACACTCATTCTCTTTCGATGTACTGGTCTGTGTCACGTTTTCTGATGACGTCTGCACGAAAAAACAAAAACAGAAACAATGTTTTAGAATATCACGTTGGTTATTTGTGTTACATATCTGTGTGACTCAAATGGGAATAGAGGGCGCTTTGTACATACTGGGGCACAGTGGGTAGCATCGAAACAAAAACGCGTGTCTCCATTTCCGGTTTGCTATGTTGTTTATTCATCAATGATACTAGTAATGTGCTTCACGCATAGATATGCCGTTCACTGCGAGATCTCGCTCAATGCGTGAAAGGCTTGGATCGAACGCTTGTCACAAAATTCGAACGATTTGATTTTGAACTTGAAAAATTAAATGTCGGAATGCCGATTTTTCAACGAAAAATATAGCTTTGAGATATTCTTACTTCAAAAAACTTGACCCTCGTGAAATATACATAGCACTTTATTGAGGCAGGAAATACCGAAAAAAAATACTTTCATATTTGTCGAATTTCGCAGGATGTTTTGACGCCACGGCGCTGTGACTTTTGTTTGTCCTGTTTTACGTTAATTTTCACGCATAACGCGGGATCTCGCAGTAAACGGAAAAAAGGTGAAACTGGTGTCAATAAAACTATTAACCCTAAAAAAGCAGCGAATTGTTGATAGAATACGAATAATCTGAAGCTACAACATTAATGTATAGAGCTTTTCTGTAAATTGCACCCTCTTTCGACGTATCGCATCTGACAGGATATGTAAATACTAGTATGCCACTTTTCCGGATGTAGCGAGCCTCCTGCTTTTGTTATAGCGACAACTACAGACACCGTGACGTCAGCGTCAGGCTGCTGACATTCGGTAAAACGTTTATTAGTGCATACACAAATGCAATATCACGCGTGTAAGCTGCACACCATATCCAGTATGCGGTAAAAAAAAAAAAAAAAAATCTGGGCGGACGAATGATGGACGACCTGACCTGCATTAAACGACCCGCGTTTCATCCAATTAGGCCATAGAAGCGCCAGAGGGCGCTAGATATAAAAAGGGATGCTTAATACGATGCAAACGCTAATTGAGAAACTTAGAGAATATTAAATATATATTAAATGAATATATCATCATATAGTACACCACGATTGGTCTGGTTAATCATTATGTAACTAGTATGTAGCCGGCGCAGAATCCGTGTCTCTGATTGGCTGCCGGATTACATAGATGATAAACCTGGAGTGGCATCTCAATATCAACACGTGACTTTTTCTGTCATGAATATTCATCACTAAACCAAATTGAACGTGCGTGTATTGGCGTATTATATTTTTAAATAGTTTTATTTTTTTATTCATGTGTAGTACGTTACCATAGGCACACGCATTCACATAGGTAAGCCACATCCACATCTACTATTCGTAGAATTCGTATAATTTTCAGACTGGACGAGCGCCCGCAAGAGGTAGACATACTCACCAGGTCGCTGTAAACTTTGTTTTCAAACGCCACTTGCATGGGGTCCATGTCAACGTAGTCGTTTTCTATTATCTGCTTCTTACAGACTCTTTTTCGTCTTCGTGTACCACAAAGAATATAAAAACATATAATTATGCATTTATTTTATCACATTTATTTTAAAATCGAACGTAGTTCTACCAAATTCAAACTTTGCCTTTAAAAGGCGGTGGTCGTCGCGCTGCGCATGTGCGACATTTGTACTGATAACATAGAATTCCCACAATCCAATGCGCTCTTCTAATGGCAATCACAAGTATGAGGTACGACCTGCGCTAATTTCCGCCGGATTTCTTCGATACCTTTTAATCACCTAATAAAATACCTAATAAAAGCTTGGTCGTCTCAGTTTGTACTCGTTGATCTGAACAGTCAAAGTCATCATCTTTATTTGAGGCCCATATATCTCGCGCATGCGTAGCGCGACGATTACCTCCCTTTAAGTTATTAAGCATGTTACTGCGCGTTCATATACAGCACATTCCATTTATTGAAATATATACAATCGAAAACAAAATTGTCACGCTGGAAGGTTTGTTAACGTTTTAACGGTGTTAAAATGTATATCACAAACAATATACTTTTTTTTATCAAAATTTCATCATAAAACCAATGCAACATTACAAAATTTAACCGTTTTCCATATTATTTCGGACTCTATTTTCTCGAGAAAAATGTTCGCTTCCCTAATAGAATTGACCCATATTAAAGCGTGTGGCAAACAACCATAGCGTGTCAGTGTTTACAAACAAGTGCCTACCCATTAGCCTTTGCGTTTTAGCGTGTGTTTTTATCGTTGCTTGGGACTCAATTCACGCAGGTGACGACCCTCCCTAAGATTTAGTAAAGGTTATTCGTAAAAAATAATGGATTATACAATATGGTATTATATTATATTATTATACATCTGTCACCGTAACGCCATAAGTTAAAGCGTGCCGTAATTTTGCGATATTGCATTGGGTATTTTCAACCCACCATATTAGGAAATGCGAATCCCAAATATGGAACGATTAGGCGCGTAAGCGTCCTATAATATTAAAAACTAACATGGCAGCCCTGGACAGTACGCGGTCGCATCGGTCCATACTCCCGCTGTTCTGCCTTCGCGCATATGTTGCGATATCTTCGTAATAACCTCATATTATCACATTCATAATTTGCAGAACAGATCTATTTTCACTGTACGCTATTCCTGAAGATTTCGCGGAACTTCCGGATTTATAAACGGTCCGATAACTACGGGTTGTGGTAACAATGATTCGTTTTTTAAAGCGGGGGAGTCGTCACCTGCGCATGCGACAGATGGCCATAGCGTGTCACTGTTTACAAATAAGCGTCTTCCCATGAGCCTTTGCGTTTTAACGTGTGCTGTTATCGGCGCTTGGGACTCAATTCCCGCGCGTGCGCAGGTGATGTCCCTCCCGCTTTAAAGCAAGCTCATGTGCGTATTTTCGCGTCCACAAAATTAGCATACGAGGCGCGCGCAATGGTCTATTTGTATTCGGTGTTATTTCGGTAATAGTTCTACTTTCAACACTACACCGTTTCACTTTTTCGGAATGTGGAAATATGCATGTTATAAATATATAATCCCGCGATATTTTCTCCTACGCTGACGTCAGCGGAGAATCGTTATTTCTGCCAGAGTAGTCGGCAGCTCGGATTCAAACAACACTTTGACGCTGAGCCCTCATATCTGCCGAAGTCCACCTAAGAGGAAATATCGTGAGATTATATATAAATAATCTATTGTTATGAATATGGTTCACGAACCACTCGAGAGAGTATGCAAATATTGTCATGTAATTATAAACATTCCATAATAAAACCTGCATGCGCGCCCTCGTGCAATTCTTGTTTCTGTCAACGTAGAGGGCGCCATACTTAACTCGGAAGACAAATGTGATTATTTATAAGAATAACATCACTGTACCTGTAAACCAAAACTGCAGCTACTATGACAATTATTATGCAGATTAAGATGATGATTACGATAAGAATGATGTACCAATTAGCAGATAATTGTCCCTGAAAAAAATATCAAAAATCGGCATCAAGCAAAGACATGGCAAATATTACTATAATTGGTACTCATACTCATCCAAAATATGAACGAAACCTTTCAAAGACCTTCATACCACGTGATATTAGGCCCAGTACTTCATCAGATCCTCCATTTTGCAAACGTTAACCTAAAGTGTGTTTTTTACGTGTTTAAAGCGTGAATACAGTAGTTATGATAGTTTTATATAGTTATGATATAAATCATTTAATTATTAGCTCCAATAGTTAAATTAAAAGTTGAAAACACATGAAAAAAATATATAGTTGCTCTTATTACTCATTGGTTAATACCAAATGGTTGAACGTGCAAAGGATCAGGATCAGCCGCGCATTATATCAAATAATTGGACGTGTCAGATTCTCTCATTACTAATAGTATGACAAAGAACCCGGATGAGCAATACATTATATCAAATTGTTGGACGTGCCAGATTCTCTCAATACAAATAGTATGACAAAGGACCCGGATGAGCTGTGCATTATGTCAAATGGTTGGGGTGCCAGATTCTCTCATTACTAATAGTGTGAAATAGGACCCGGATGAGCCGTGTAATCTATCAAATTTTTGGAAGTGCAAGATTTCATACCTTTATTAATGATAGACTGTAAAACCCAGATGAACTGTAGACAAGGTGTCTGGCTCGGATTATAAATTATAACAAGTGATATAACCCGGATGAGCCACGCACACTCACCCTATCATCGTCATCTTCATTTACCGGGTCGGTGACCGGTTCCGCCTCTCCTTCGTACAACTTGTACCCAATCCTGTGTTCCATTGTGTCTTGTGGGAACGTGGACAATAGTTCGCTGATCTTGGCAGCAGATATGTACCCGTCGTCATAGAGAACTATGAACGTAAGTTTCGTCAGTTCAGTTCTACAATAAAGAGGACTTGTTTTAAATAGCCAGAGGAGGGCGCACTGTGAATTCAATGTACGGTACACCGCTAGAGTTGGGAAATGCGTAAACAATCAATGAGCGACGCGTTCATGACGCGCACGTGTAAGCTTTTCGTGTGTCGCGTTGAAACCGATCAACTTGAACAATTAACGGCTTTATAGCGCATGTGACCCCTTGTAAACTCATTCCTCGGGGAACCCTTTCACTGCCACGGGCCACTACTGCCACGTCACTCGGGGCACCCCAGGGTGGCAACGCGAACGCACTCCTGGCCTGATTCAGACTAACCTTGTTTCATCGGCGATGTAGCGTACGTCCTCCATAACCGTGACTACGACGTCATCTTCGTCGGCCTGCAATGCTGTTATGAGGGTGATGCCCATGTCGTTCTCAAAACCATCCACATCCGTGACGTCACCGATGAGCATCACCGAATATCCATAATATGGCAATTCTGCAATATGAAGAGTTACGCGTTACCAGTAAACGTGTCAATCTAATTTGTATATACAATGCCTGTCACGTGGGTTCCACGAACGTTTTCCAAGTCGACATTGAACTTTTAGCCCTTGATTATGCAATAATGATTATACAGCACAACGCCAAACAGCGCATGTCCGGTGACGGGTTTAATCGCAATAAGAATGATAACGCAATTAGTATACCCGTAATTCATTGTTCTCAAACTTAAACTGGGAACCAAGAGGAAGGGCCATGCCCTACAAACTCCTTTACAGTTGCAAGAATCCCCTCATTACTGCCTCAAAACTTCTTGTCGCTACGCCGCTTGCCGCCATTTTGTTTTCAAAGGAAACTGCAATGTAGTGTGGGTAAAATTGTCTACAACGAATCTCGCCATGCTCATGGCGACGTCTACTGTAAAAGGCTCAATTATTCACTGGGTTTTAATTTTGCTTATTTCGCTGACTGGAAAATATGCTAAATTAAAACCCAGTGAATTTGTAAAAATTAGCATAGAACACATTATCTAAATGGCAAAACCGTGAATTTAAAACCCACTGAAATGGTAAATCAGTAAAAATTAAACCCAGTGAAAATTAGTCATTTTACGTTATGTCGCCATTATACTTTTGATGCGTGTGTATACCTACCATATTGGCATGACTCCCCAAAGTAGTTGTCATAGCAACCGCATCTAAAAAAAACCACAATAACTGTTATACATATGTTTGCTATGTCAGTATTTTTATATGGATACCATACCCATTTTTTTTTCCTCGCTTCTTTTAACCTACTTAACACTAAAACAAACATTTGACACAATTACTAAAAGAAATCTTCAGAAAATTTCAGGATTCTTTTAGTGCCAAAATAACAAAATGTTCAGTATGATGCTCAGTTTTATTCACTTTTCCATAATTTCCTCTTTTTAATTTCGACCAAATTGACATCATTTCTGACTTTTCTATTTTACATGATAATTTGGGAAGGGTCTGGGAATAAAAAAAGGTTGATTTTGTGGACTTTATTTTGCATCATCAACGAACATTTTGACTAATTTCACCATATTTATTATTAGCAGTCTGAAACTGTATTATACATATAAAACATGCCAAGGCACGTGACCTTTATGAGTTATTCCGGGGTCATGTCACGTGTCACTTGGAGGTCGCGTGTAAGTCGTATCGGGTTTTGGATAGATACCCGCAAAACATACCACTACACCCTATAAAGTAAATGTCAAACGAAATGAAATATTATGTAGTGAGTCATAAAAACGAAACAGATAAAAAAAAATATATATTCTGGAATTTCCAGATTGCTCTGAAGATTACATTTTTACATAGACGCATGTGAAAAGTCAATATGCAAATTTTGTCCGAGTTCGTCAAATCAAATCGACCATCTTTATAATTCTATTATATAGGTATCGATGACCTAAAATACGTCTATATATCTTGTCATATAGAGGAGCGCTCTTAAATGAAATTGCACGGCCGAGGTCTCGCGAAGATCGAGTGCATCATGGTCAATTCATTCCGGTCGATTGCGTGCACTGTTCCTTGGCCTGGGTATCTTCCTATTGTGTCATGGTTTCTCTTCACAATATTACGGAGAGGACTTTCGGACCGACGAAACAACAAGAAAGTAACCAGCCGAACTGGTCTATGTAGCCATGGTGTTTTCAACAGCGAACGCGACGACGGGAACATCATGAAACCAAGTCGCGTGATACTCTCGTTCTCAACGAGAATTCGGCGTCCGGTTACGTCTAACTTCTATTGCCGGGTGAATATTCGATTTTAATAACCGTGGAACTCGATTAAGTAAGTATGAGCAGCGTTAAAAAGAACCGAAAATTAATTATGTAATCTAATTAATTAATTACCATACTAATGGGCACGCCCCAAAATATGCCAAAATCAGCCAAAATCAGCCGGTGAGGTAACATTCTTGATTGACGTGCATCCCATTTTTTTTGGACGCAAACCTCAAAAGCTTAACTAATGCGCGCGATGCCTACGTTGTTATGACAATGGCGCTTTTAATCAGACCCATAATCAAGGCGTAGTGCCATGACTCTAAGCATGAATCGCTGTATTATGATAGTACCTAACTGTGTCATCTTTATTCACGCATGCGCCGTTTATGCACGGCGTTCCATCACAGAGTTCAATGGGTGTCATGCAACCATCTCCTATGAAACCTTCTTTGCATTCACATTTGTAACCGCCTCGTAGATTCACGCATGCTCTGTTTCCTTTGCAAGGATTACCCATAATGCATTCATCAACGTCGTCTGCGCATGTCAGTCCAGTGAATCCTTGTACGCATGTGCAATTGAAAGCGTTGATGGCATCCATGCAGTCACCGCCATTTTGACAGGGTGATGATTGGCACTCGTCGATTTCAAATTCACACTGGTTTCCATAGTAACCCAAGTAGCATGAACAATTATATCCACCGACTTCGTCCAGGCAGTTGCCATGAATACAGGGGGAAGATTCACACTCATCCAATTCAGTATCACAGTTAACACCTATAATATTACAAAAACGTGACACGGTTTACAATATTAATAAATAATGAGACTGGCTTCCTGCCTAGGGATTACTGGTTAAGACTGGCTTCCTGCCTAGGCACTAATGGTTTGAACTACCTAGCAGCTAATAGGGTTAATGGTTCAGACAGGCTGTCAGTCTAAGTTAAGAATAATTACCAGCTTAGGTGGCTCCTGATTGAGCCTCAAACTGGGTTTCGTGCTAGATATTACTGAAGCTAACTATAGGTGTTCCATGCATTATGACTAATTTAAAAAAATATAATCAGGGGTGCTATATTTCTAACTAATGTTACTATTGATGACATCACATGGAAAACAACATATGATTGGGGTTCATATAAAAGTAATATAGCTTCATCTGAATGGGATTCTACTGTTATAGCACCATCTGAGAATCCAATGTTGTCTTTGATCACTCTTTCGGTCATTGTTGCCTAGACAAAATAGATCAGTGAGTTTACCACATATAACATACTGTAAAATGCTTTATTCTAGCTGGAAGTGTTTTGGGTGTTTTGTATGGAATTTATTTTCACTGATTTCTGACGAGTTGAATGTGAAATATAAGAAAAAAAAGGTATATTTGCTGGATCATTCCCTCAGCGAAAATAGCGAAAATGAATTCCAAGCGAAAATAAAGTATTTCACAGTATTTCATAATACAGCGACAAATGCCATGAAAGCATTGCAGCTACATAAAGAAAAAGACATACATGAACCTACCTGCGTAACCACGTCGACAAATGCAAACATATTGATTGACGTCATCAATG